ATGTGTAGTCTGTGGCTGTTGGATGGCATGTTCTGTATATATCTGTTAAGTCCATTTGTTCCAAGGTGTAGTTTAAATCCACTGTTTCTTTATTGACTTTCTGTCCTGATGACCTGTCTAGTGCTGTAAGTGGAGTATTGAAGTCCCCACTGTTATTGTGTTGCTGTCTATCTCATTTCTTAGGTCTATTAGTAATTGTTTTATAAATTTGGGAGCTCCAATGTTAGGTGCATATATGTTTAGGATTGTGATATTTTCCTGTTGGACAAGGTCTTTTACCATTATGTAATGTCCCTCTTTGTTTTTAAACTGCTGTTGCTTTAAAGTTTGTCTGATATAAGCATAGCTTCTCCTGCTCACTTTTGGTGTCCATTTGCATGCAATGCCTTTTTCCACCCTTTTACTTTAAGTTTATGTGAGTCCTAATATGCTAGATGAGTCTCTTGATAGTTGTTTGATTAATTCACATCCATTCTGCAGTTCTGTATCTTTTAAGTAAGGCATATAGGCATTTACGTTCAATGTTAGTATGGAGATGGCAGGTACCATTCCATTAATTGTGCTATTTGTTGCCTGTGTGCCTTGGTTATTTGTTTTTTAAAATTGTATTTTTGTTTTATAGATCCTGTGAGATTTATGCATAAAGAGGTTCTGTTTTGATGTTTCCAGGATTTTTTTTTCAAAATTTAGAGCTCCTTTTAGCAGTTCTTATAGTGCTGGGTTGGAAGTGGCAGATTCTCTCAGCATTTGTTTGTCTGAAAGAGACTGTATCTCTCCTTCATATATGATGCATAGTTTTGCTGGATACAAAACTCTTGGCTGATAATTGTTTTGTTTGAGGAGGCTGAAGATAGGGCACCAATCCCTTCTAGTTTCTAGGGTTTCTGCTGAAAAATCTGCTGTTAATCTGATAGGTTTTCCTTTATAATAGATTACCTGGTGCTTTTGTCTCACAGCTCTTAAGATTCTTTCCTTCATCTTAACTTTAGAAAACCTGATGACAATGTGCCTAGGTGATGATCTTTTTGTGACGAATTTCCCAGGTGTTCTTTGTGCTTCTTGTTTTGGATGTCTAGGTCTCTAGAAAGGGTGGGGAAGTTTTCCTCAAGTATTTTCCCAAATATGTTTTCCAAATTTTTAGATTTCTCTTCTTCCTCAGGAACACTAATTTTTCTTAGGTTTGGTAATTTAACATAATCCAAGACTTCTTAGAGGCTTTGTTCATATTTTCTTAATCTTTTTTGTCTTTGTTGAATTAATTCAAAGATCTTGTCTTTGAGCTCTAAATTTCTTTATTTTACTTGTTCAATTCTATTGCTGAGACTTTCCAGAGCATTTTGCATTTCTCTAAGTGTGTCCAATATTTCTTGAAGTTTTGACTTTTTTATGTTATGTACTTCATTGAATATTTCTCCCTTTACTTCTTGTATCATTTTTTGGATTTCCTTGCATTAGGGTTCCTTCCGATGCCTCCCTGACTGGCTTAATAACTAACCTCCTGAATTCTTTCTCAGGTAAATCAGGAACTTCTTGACTTGAATCCATTGCCAGTGAGCTACTGTGATTTTTTGGGGGTATTAAAGAATCTTGTTTTGCCATATTGCCAGCGTTGGTCTTCTGGTTCTTTCTCATTTGGGTAGGCTCTGTGAGAGGGAAGGTCTAGGGCTGAAGACTGTTGTTCAGATTCTTTTGTTCCACAGGGTGTTCCCTTGATGTAGTATGCTCCCCCTTTTCCCATGTATGTGGCTTCCTAAGAGCTGAGATGTAGTGATTGTTCTCTCTCTTCTGGGTCTAGCCACCTAGCAAGTCTGCCAGCCTCTGGGCTGGTACTGGGGATTATCTGCACAGAGTCCTGTGATGTGAACCATTTATGGGTCTCTCAGCCATGGACACCAGCTCCTGGTCTGGTGAAGGTGGCAGGGGGGTGAAATGAACTCTGTGAGGATTCTTATCTTTGGTGGTTTAATGCTCTATTTCTGTGCTGGTTGGCCTTCTGACAAGAGGTGGCGCTTTCCAGAGAGCATCAGCTGTGGTAGTATGGAGAGGAACCAGTGCTGGGTGGGGTCCTAGAACTTCCAGGAGTATATGTGCTTCATGTTCAGTTATTAGGGTGGGTAGGGAAGGATCATCAGTTGGGGGCAGGGTTAGGCATGTCTGAGCTAAGAATCTCCTTGGGCTGATCTTGCTGTGGCTGCTGTAGCGGATGGGGGTGAGGTTCTCAGGTCAATGAAATTATGTACCTAGGAGGATTATGGCTGCCTTTGCTGAGTCATGCAGGTTAAGTGGGGAAAAGCCAACAGTTAGAGGCCTCACCTAGCTCCCATGAAATCCAAAGGGACAGTCTTACTCCCACTGTGCCCCGACCAATAGCATTGAGTCTCTTTCCAGGCAGTGGGCAAGCAGGGCTGAGAACTTGCCCCAGGCTACCAGCATCCCAGCTGCAGAAGCAAGTATGACTTTAGTTATTCCCCTGCCTGTGGAGTCTGTGTGCTGGATCTGTGCCCTCCCCAGAGTTCTGGCCAGGAGGCTTCTTGTCCAGTTCAAATTGTTACAAAGTTCAGCTGGAGACTTCCTTCACCCTGTGGCATTTTCTCTGGGCCTCTGGCTACCCTCCCAAAGGATCCCTGTGATGCCAGAAAGGAATGGCCTGCTTGGGGACCTAGGGAGCTCCCAGGGCCTTTCCCACTGCTTCCTTTACCTCTGTATTTCACTCAGCTCTCTAAATGGACTCAGCTCCAGGTAAGGTTGGAATCTTCTCCTGTCAACTAGACCTTTAGTTTCCCCAGTGTGAGTGTGTGTCCAGGGGCGGAGGATCTTCCTTTCCCACTTCCACAGTTTGGGCACTCACAGTATTTGGGGTGTCTCCTGGGTCCTGCAGGAGCTGTTTGCTGATTTCAGAGGGTCTGTGGATCTCTTCAGGTATCCTAATTTATTCCTGCAGTTGTTCTGGAGCTAAAATTCACAAGGTGGGCCTCTGCACGCCGCTCTGTACAACCGAGTTGGAGCTGCAATCTAGTCCTGCCTCCCGTCCACTGTGATCTGTTATGTTTCTTTAGTATCTTTTAATCTAGACCCTGCTGCTCCATCTCTCAATCACATTGCATTTTTGGAGACACCAAATTTGTGTTCTTACAAAATACCCCATAGTCTGGATTTTTCTGACCATTCTTACAGTGTCATTTAACGTATTCCCTGTATTTCCTGCAAACTGAAAACTAGGCTTAAAAGCTTAATTAGATATGTAGATGATGCCATGGACTTCATACTCCATCACAACAGGAACAAGTCAGGATGACCCATGGTTGCAGATGCCAAGTATGTTACTGTTAAAAACATGGTGTCAACCCACGGTGAACTGCATTCTTCCCTGTGCAGCCGGCAGTCACCGGACCTGTGGCTGGTGTTCAGGCTGGTGTGAGTGTCTTCTTTCCCAACAACCTTCCTGACCTGTGGCTGGTGTTCAGGCTGCTGTGAGTGTCTTCTTTCCCAACAACCTTCCTGACCTGTGGCTGGTGTTCAGGCTGCTATGAGTGTCTTCTTTCCCAACAACCTTCCTGACCTGTGGCTGGTGTTCAGGCTGCTGTGAGTGTCTTCTTTCCCAACAACCTTCCTGACCCGTGGCTGGTGTTCAGGCTGCTGTGAGTGTCTTCTTTCCCAACAACCTTCCTGACCCGTGGCTGGTGTTCAGGCTGCTGTGAGTGTCTTCTTTCCCAACAACCTTCCTGACCCGTGGCTGGTGTTCAGGCTGCTGTGAGTGTCTTCTTTCCCAACAACCTTCCTGACCCGTGGCTGGTGTTCAGGCTGCTGTGAGTGTCTTCTTTCCCAACAACCTTCCTGACCTGTGGCTGGTGTTCAGGCTGCTGTGAGTGTCTTCTTTCCCAACAACCTTCCTGACCCGTGGCTGGTGTTCAGGCTGCTGTGAGTGTCTTCTTTCCCAACAACCTTCCTGACCTGTGGCTGGTGTTCAGGCTGCTGTGAGTGTCTTCTTTCCCAACAACCTTTCACCTAGTGCTTTTTGCATCTTTTGATGATCCTTAATCAAATATTTCACCAGGGATAACAAACAGTAATTTTCAAGTTTAACCAATTTTTCTAGAATTTTAAGCTGCCAGTCTTCTAGAATAAAGAGTTTTCATTTGTCTACTGGGGAGGAAGCAAGTTTCCTTCTAAAATGATAGGTTAAACAATTATTTCTTTTTCATGGCTTTCTTTCTCTTTCTCTCTCTTTCCCTCCCTCTCCCCTCCTTCCCTTCCCTCCCTCCCTCCTTCCCTTCCCTCCCTCTCCCCTCCCTCCCTTCCTCCTTCCCTTTTCTCCTTCCCTCCCTCCTTTCCCTTCCCCTCCCTTCCTCTCTTCCTTCCCTCCCTCCCTCCCTCCCTCCCTCCCTTCCTTCCTTCCTTTTATTTTCTTTTATTTCTGCACAATTTTGTTTTCATTATTTATACTTTAATCGAGCTGGAATGTATTTTACTATATTGTGTCAGGCTAGGACATAAACAGTGACTTTACCCAAAACCTCCAATCTTCCCATCCTAATTTCTTTAATAATTTATCCTTTCTGTAATGACATGTGTGCCCTTAACTCACGTGTGTTGATTCTTATATTCTTACACACTGTCCGAATCACCTTAGCTTCAAAATACATTTTTACATTTTTAAAAAGGTTAGATCTTTTAAAAAGTGCTAGCTTTGCTGATTTTTTATTGTGGGTGTGCTGAAGAGTAATTCAACAAGTTTCCTAAACCCTCCCATGGGGACGGCAAAGGTTGTTAGGTGAGAATCAATCATTGTCAGTTTCCTCTTGGGACGCAGGACAAGTCAGACCCAGGGAAGGTGCAGTGCAGGGATTCTCATGTGAGGTTTTCAGGGAGGATCCCCAACAAGTTGAGGGAAAAGAACCCAGTGAGCAGAACACCTCATGCCAGGCTCTGCTTTCGGGACCTTTTCTCCCTGCCCGCTGAAGTCCTGCCAAGGTTAGGAGAATAAATTGCTCATGTGTTACCTTGATAGTGTTTGTGGAGGCCAAAAGGTCTGATTCTATTTCCATTTCTCTTCTTTCATCGAGAGACGCGTCTTCGGATGGTGGGGTCACAAACACAAAATGCCCCAGGGTGTCTGTTCCGGACAAAGGCGGCCGTTTCGCAGGGTAGGAGACGATTGAAAACAAGGCAGGAGGCGGAATGGGTGGTCCGGAGGAACCCAGACCCAAGATGTCTAGGATCTAAAGGAAAGACCCATTGTTAATTTCCTGTGTAAAACTCTATGCCTCTACCACAGCCTTTGTCACACTTTATTGCAATTGTTTAACTGTCTGCCTTCGCAACGGGACTGTAAACTACATTAGGACAGTTAGCAGGTGGATATGGCACACAGCCTAGCACACAGTGGGCAATCAATAAACCTGTGTTTAATGTGAAGAGACCAGCTCTTAAGGTTCTAATGTCCAGAGTATACGCTTGTTCCATCGATTTTCAGATTCCATGTTCATTTTTCTTTTTGCCTTAAATGTTCCTTCCTTCCACAGGTGAAACAAAGTTGGGATGGGAACAAGTCAAATACAGCAAAGAAAATAATAAAGCAAAGGTCCTGGGACTGGGATAGAGAAGGGGAATGAAGAGAGAAGTGAAAATAACCTGAGAGAAAACATGGATTCCTCCAGCATTTTCCCATTCTGCTCTCATATATAATGAATGAGTAATTTCCAGAGCAAACGGGTTAAAATTTTCACGGCTACTTCCTGCCTAGCATGTAAAGACCCTCAGAATAGACACGTTACCCCTAGACTAACAGCCATTATCACAATAGTCAAGGTTACAGCCCACCTGAGGGCCCAGCCTGCGGACCACTGGACCTATTAGGTCCAGCAAGTAACTAAGTAACTTCATGTAATCCTGTGCTTCTCATCCTGCATGTCAAGGAGCTAAAGGCATTTCCTGACTAATATGCAGCTGAGTGAACTCCCAGGATTCAGAATGTCTATGAGGAAAGGCAAGAATGATTTGTAGCAATTGTTGAATTACCAGAGCCAGGGAGTTCTTCAAGCAGCAGTCTAGCCTATGATTTGGAAGGCGGAACGTATTAAAAGAGGAAAGAAGATTCTTATTATAGCCCTCAAAAACAACAACTCATTTCTGGGGAAAAAAATCACAATTCCTGAGCTACGGCTGGCCTTAGGAGAAACTGGGAAGGGCAGGGAGCTGGTTTGTGTGTCCCCCAGCTGTTCCTCCCTCCTTTGGTGCCACCCGGGACCACTGTGGCAAGGCTTTTACTGTGGGGCCACAGCACATGGAAGTCACGTGGATCACGTGGATGATTCTAATCCTCCCGTCATCCCTGATTGCTGTGTATCGACTCTAGTCTCTACTTTTAAAAGTTGGCTCATGCCTGTAATCCCAGCACTTTGGGAGGGTGAGGCAGGTGGATCATTTGAGGTCAGGAGTTCGAGACCAGCCTGACCAACACGGTAAAACTCTGTCTCTAGTAAAGCTACAAAAAAATGAGCTGAGCCTGGTGGCACAGGCCTGTAGTCCCAGCTGCTCGGGAGGTTGAGGCAGGAGAATTGCTTGAACCCAGGAGGCCAGTGAGCCGAGATCGTACCACTGCACTCCAGCCTGGGCGACAGAGCGAGACTCCATCTCAAACAAAACAAAACCAAACCTTGCACCTAGTTTGTGATGAATGAAACAAGAGGGCAGCAAACCATGGTGCCCTGGCGAAATCTGGCCTGCTACTTTTTCTAAATAGACTTCAATTGGAACACGGCCATGCCCTTCCAGTTACACATTGCTGGTGGTCACTTTCATCCTTTGAAGGCTGAGCGGAGTAGTTGTGATAGAGGCAGTATCACCTGCAGCCTAAAATACTTTCTAGTCCTTTACAGAAAAAGCTTGTACCTGGACAAAAGGGTATAATAAGCCTCTCCTCCAAACTGCTCGCAAAGGTGGCTTTTGGATATACGATACTTTCGTTTATAGGAACAAAGAGCTAATAGGATAATTTCTGTCACTGTGGGACACCTGTGGGAAAAACATTTTGGAGTGGATAGGTCTCTTGCTTCACCCCAAAGCCTCAGTTGCCTTGCCATTCTGTAGCACCCATATTATCAGTATTAAAATTCAACCATACAAGTGGCTTTCTGTAAGGTTGGATGGGCTCATTTAGATGTGTGACACTTTCTGTGAATTTTCTTTGACCAAGTAGAAAAGGTCCTTTAGTCATTACTGTCTTAACTCCAAGGGGGGCATCAGAGATGAATGAAGTTGAAGGGATATGGGTTTCAGGTAGGGAGAAGCACCCCTGATGATATTAGCACAGTGCCTGCTACCTTACTTGTGACATCCCCATCCTGGAGGGGGGTCCATACCTGCTCCCCTTTGGGAAGCCTGTCACTCTCTAGGGCCTGCTTCCAGCTCAAGCCTTCAAAGTCTGGTGCCTGGATGTTGAGGAAGGGCACGCCCAGGTCCTTCTCCTTCTTCCCTTCATGGTCCTCCTCACTTTCCCCCTCCCAGTCGCTCCACTCCTCCAGGGCTCTCAGCTTCTCCAGGCGTTCACGCTCCGCCTTCTCCCTCTCTAGGCGCTCCTTCTCCGCCCGCTCCTTCTCCTGGCGCTCCCTCTCCCGGTCCCTGCGGCCCCTGCGCCCACTGGAGGGGCCCTGGCGCTGGTCGTTGGGCTCATGGGGCACCTCCTCCATCCCCACGGGAGGCAGCTGGACTCCTTGCTTCCGGTCCCAGTACATAAGGATGTTCTGGACGTCCTTCAGCGTCAACTCATAGGCCTTAAACTTCTGGGCCAGTTGCTTTTCGGGGTCCTTCGAGATGTCCCCTTCGCTGTCCTCTTGATCCTGGACAAGAGGAAACCCATGCGTGCTGACATCGGTCATGTTCTTTTTCTTCTTGTTTAGCTCTTCCTTGTCAGATGTTGCTTGTTCCTTAGCAGATATTTTCCCTTCGACCGTCTCTGTCTTGACATCCGCTTTGGTGGAAGGAGGAACCTAGAAGGCATGACACAGAAAAGATGCGTCAAACAAGGGGGAGTAAACACATAAGGAGCTGCAAAAGGACGTTTTGTTTCATGAGAAGGCCTTCGAGGATCCGGGCAACTCCCATGCACACTAAGGTTGCCCTGGGAGACATCTTGGGGGCTTCTATCTAAATATCCATTCCATGGTCCTTCTCTGTTCAAGACCTGGCTGGGTCCTGGCATTGTGCCTTTGGGAAAAGGTGCAGAGTGACTTTGATTTGTACTCCTGGTTGTGAGCTGCTGTTCTGCATGATCGAGGGGAAAAGACCAGCAGATGCAAGCCATCTGCACCTGCCTCAGGTGCCCTGGGATGGGCCATAGTGTGTAGTGGTCCAATCCCGGCTGCACTGCTTGGTAGCTGTGACCATGGGAGAGGACCTAGCCTCTTTCTGTCTCATCTGTAGAATGGAGACAGCTATATTGATACCTACTCCAGAGGACTCCTGAAGATTAATTGTGTGACTGCGTGTAAAAAGCTTACAATGTTGCCTTTGCAGTTATTAAAACCACACAGGTATTATATACAGTGGGCATTTTGGGGAACAAATGGGAATTTAGAATCTGGCTGTACCTCAAGATTTTAAGATACGTATTTATTTAATGCACTGGGCATAGAGAAACCAACTTTACTCTTTTTCTTACTGCTCTTTTAAACTTGCTTTGTGGGCTCTGATTTTCTCCTCCCCTGGATGAAATCCTCGGGTAGGCTCCATAGATTTTTGGGTCATTCTTTGATGATACTATACAAAATCCAGTCCAGTCTAGTGACTGCTCTCTGCAGCACAGCCCAGTGTCCCCCTTCCCAGGTCTAGCTCTGCTCCTCTCTAACTTCAGGCCAACATCAGGCTTGGAGACGTGAATGACCAGGGGCTGGCTTTTCCCCTCATCTGGCTGCCCTTCCTCTTTCTCTGCTTCTCCATCTCTAACACAGCCTGGGTAGGCAGCAACACCAGAGACGGGCACAATATCTCATGCGGGGAGGCAGGGACTTGGCTCCTACTCCTTCATGCTTTGCCAAGACACCTGGATTTTTCATGGAAGACGGAGCCCAGTGAGGGAGGGACTTGCACTTGCAAGACTGTGGGAGCCCAGCATAGAGCAGCCGGAGGCTGATGATACACTACAAAGAATATAGACGATTTTAACAACTTCATCAGGGGACTTGAGCAAATAGATGCAGAAAGAAAATACACACACTATTCAAATGCACGTGGAACATTCACCGACACCAATCACCTATGAGGCCACACAACAAGGCTCCACAGATGCAGAGGATCAGTATGACATAGAACATGTACTCTGCAGATAGTAATCAAAATCAGAACTCAAAAAGAGAAGGCCAAATGAAGCTGTTCATTTGGAAATTAGAAAAGATGCTTTGAAATAATTCATGGATTAAAGAAGTAGCCATAAAGGATACTAGAAAGTATTTAGAATTGAACAGTGAAAACACCGAATAACAATAATTGAGGAATATAAAAAATAATGTTTGAAAGCGTATATGTCTTTGCATGCTTTTGTAACTTTTCTGTTTTTTTTTTTTTTTGGATAGGTTGGAGTGTAGTGGTGCGATTTTTCTGGGCTTGGTGATCCTCCCACCTCAGCTTCCCAAGTAGCTGGGTGTGCACCGCCATGCCAAGCTAATTTTAAATTGTTTTTGTAGAGACAGGGTTTTGCCTTGTTGCCCAGGTTGGTCTTGAATCCCTGGGTTCACGTGATCCACCCATCTTGGCCTCCCAAAGTGTCAACATTACAGGCATAAGCCACTGTGCCTGGTGCCTTTTATAAATTTTCATAAATTGGAAAACAAAAATGATCGAAAATTAATAAGATAAGCATCACTTCAAGAAGTTAGAAAAAGAACAGAATAATAATGCAAATAAAGTAGAAAGAAGGGCCAGGCACAGTGGCTCATGCCTATAATCCCTGTATGTTGGGAGGCCAAGGTGGGCAGATCACCTGAAGTCAGGAGTTTGAGACCAGCCTGTCCACCATGGCAAAACCCTGCTTCTACTAAAAACACACAAATTTGCCAGGCATGGTGGTGGGCACCTGTAATCCCAGCTACTTGGGAGGCTGAGGCAGTAGAATAACTTGAATTTGAGAGGTGGTGGTTGCAATGAGCTGAGATCATGCCATTGCACTCCATCCTGGGTGACAAGAGCGAAACTCTGTCTAAAAAAAAAAGTAGAAAGAAGGATATTATTTAAAAATAAGAACAGAAGCTAATAAAGCAAAAAACATACAATGAAGATAATCCACAAAGGCAAAAGTTATTTCTTTGGAAAAATAATAAAAATGACAAACTCCTAGTAAGGTTCATTGAGGAAAAACAAAGAGAAGGGTATAAATAAACAACATGTGAAATGATTGAGAGGAAATAATAGAAACAATAGAAGAATAATAGAAATGATAGAAGAGGTGAAAAAGATAGTAAGATAAAACCATTAATTTTCTTATGCCAATAAATTTGAAAATCTGATAAAATTTATACTTTTTCAGAAAATCATGAATGACCAAATTAACTCGGAAAGCAAAAGGTAAGCTGAATAAACCTTTAAGACCAAAACAAATTGATCCAATAATGCCATATGTAACCTATTGTGTGATCCTACTAAAGAAGAAAAAGAAATACAATCATGTCGATGGATGCAGAAAAATCACTTGTTAAAATTCAGCACCCACAAGTAGAAAATCTTGACAAAATGTTTAAAAAACCCATGTGTCTGAAAGCACTGGAGAGCCATAAAGGCAGTTTCAGGCTAAGATCTGGGAGAGGAGAGAAATAGAGAGAAGCAGGCCCAGTGTCTGGGGTTGCTTTTCCCTTGAGGGCATTTGTAGCTGACAGTGTGGCTGAGAAGCTGAGCAAAGCTTCTGACAGACTCGTGGGGCTGGGGTTCAAATATTAGACTCCAGGCCTGCCAAGGAAAAGAGGTCCTGGTAAATCCACTTGGGCCTTTGGGTTAAGACTCCAAAAGGCTCCATATTAGGAATAAGGGTCAATCTGTCCTTTGCAGGGACATTGGATGGAGCTGGAAGCCATCAGGAATAGAAAGCCAAATAATATGTATTCTCCCTTATAAGTGGAAGCTGAATGATGAAGACACATGGACACATGGGTGGAGGGACAACCCACACTGGGGTCTGTTGGGGGTTGAAGGGTGGGAGGAGGGAGAGTATCAGGAAGAATCGTTAATGGACGCAGGGCTTAACACAGTGGCACACGTTTACCTAGGTAACAGTCCTGCACTTCCTGCACGTGTACCCCTGTACTTAAAATAAAAGTGGAAAAAAGAAAAATAAATAAAAAGGTCAACCACTGACGCTCAGTTTTAAATGATCTCAATACCGATTGAATCAAGATTTCTAGTACTCTTAGCCTAGCTGACTGCCAGCATCAAACAGTGGTTCTCTCTGGAGGGAGACAACATTTTTCAGAGCCTCAAAAAGTGTTTTTTCATTCAATATCTGGCCCTTGATAAAAACCTGGGTTGGGCATGGTGGCTCATGCCTGTTATCCCAGCACTTTGGGAGGCTGAGATGGGAGAATTGCTTGAGGCCAGCAGTTCTAGACCAGCCTGGGCAAGCAAGACCTCCATCCATAAAAATAAAAATAAAAAAACCTGGCAACTAAAGAGTCAAGACCATATGACTGTAAACCAAGAGCAAAAGACAGACAGGAGACAGGACTGCCAGGGAATCCATGTATGGCATTATCAGACAAGGACTTAAAACATATTTAATACACTGAGGGAATTAAAACCCTAATGAGAATTGAGAATCTTGAAGAGAACTAGAAACAATAAGAAAAGAATTAATGGATTCTTAATGCAATAGCAAAATGAAAAACTGAAATGGAGAGAGGAGAAGATGGCGCTATAGGAGCAACTCAGGATTGCAGCTCCCAGTGAAAGCACAGAGGGTGAGTGGATGCCATATTTCCAGACAGATCTTTATTGCCCACAGTCTAGGAGATTCCCAGGTGTAGGAGCCCCACAGGCTGCCAGAGTGGCTGTTTTGGCTGGCACGGCCATTTCGGTCTGCGCCGCAGCACAGCGGCACTCTACAAAATACACTGGTCTGGTTGCCCTGTTAAACCAGCAATTTGAGATTTGGGAAGGCAGATTAGCACATTCATCTAATTAAACGGGACTTAAACAGTAAGCCAGGCCAGGAGATTCCCGGTAGCGATGTTGTTTCAGCCGGCACAGTGGGTCGCTGCATGGGAAATCACACAGATCCCGGCGCCCTTTCAGCAGGTGATTGAAACACTTGGGAGAGAGTCAACCATTCAACTTAAAAAAAAAAAGGGCTCTGAGGCAGGGAGCCAGGTGACCAGGCTCGGCGGGTCCCACCCCCACAAAAACAAACAAAACAGCAATTGGAAATGCTCAGGGTTGAGAGTTTCACGGCAAGCACAGCTGAACCCAGGATGGTGCAGCTCGGTGGGGGAGGGGCGTCTGCCATTACCGAGGCACTCCACCCCTACAGAGGTACCCTGCCATTGCTGATGCAGCCTGCTGTTGCTGAGGCAACCTGCCATAACAGAGAGAGTCCGCCATTACAGAGGTGGGCCACCATTGCCACAGCAGTTCTAACCATACCCATATAAACAGGACTATAGGGAATTACACACGGCAGCAGAGCGGAGCCCATGACAGCAGGGTGGAGCCCATGGCAACAGGGCAGAGCCCACGGCAGCAGGGCGGAGCCCAGAGCAGCTCAGCATAGCCTCGGCAGGCAGGCAGTGACTAGACTGCCTCCTTGCTGTGTAGGACAGTGCAACAGATACTCATAAATAAAGCCCTAACTCCCCAGGACAGAGCACCTGAGGAAAAAAAGGGGCTGTATGAGTTCTGCTGCAGCACAATTAAATGTACCTGCCTAGCAGTCCTCAATGAACAACGGAGCTCACAGCTCAGCACTTGAGCTCCTATAAAGTACAGACTGTCTCCTCCAGCAGCTCCCTGA